AGGACTTGTGAAGCCATCACCAATACTTTAATTACTCAAGGGCTCGTTACTCTGGCTGGTTTTGTTGATCCTGCTATGACCTGCGCCATGTTACAATATTGTGCTGCTCTAACACCACCTAAAGTGTTGCTTCATCCTGAACATATTGAGCTGTTAGATCGATTCTTCACTCTTCATGGAAAGGCTCAAGCTGGTGACACAGATCTCTGTGCTGATTGTTCCACTCTTTTTACTGATGTCAAGACAAGACTGGCTGATCCAGCTACAACTCAAGCTATTGTAGCTCAAGTCGAGCAATACTCCTGTAATGTGATGCCAATTGGTCAAGAAACATGTCGTTCTCTAGTTTCAACAGTAATTGGTACTGGTCTAGGAATGATGGCCTCTTTCATCGAACCAACACAAATTTGTACTATTTTGGGATATTGTCAAATGCCACCAATGGTTCACGATTCCTTCCAGTCTACTTTATACTTCAAACCGGAAGTGATGTCACAGACTGTAGGTGATATAGATCTATGTACTGATTGTACCACCCTATTTACTGATGTTAAAACAAGATTAAGCAATCCACAAACAGTTGGTGCTATCACAGCTGGAATAGAGAAATTTTCCTGTAATCTTTTACCAACATTTCAAACAACTTGTAATATGCTGGTATCCACCGCTGTATCAACTGGTCTTGGCTTTGTTGCTTCCCTCATTGATCCAGCTATGACTTGTCAGATATTGATGTATTGTACAGCCTAATTCCTTCTATTATTAGACCAATGATGTATTGATGCATCGGTAATATATACTAATGATATCGTATAATGTAAAGCTATTTTCGGGAATGAAATGACAATATACAGCTATTTTTGTAATTATTATAGAAGATTTTTTACAGCTATTTTTATAATGATGTATATATTTATAACCCTGAACAATAAAATATCTTAATGATAAGTTCTCGTTTAGAAATGTATAGTTCTACCAATGGTATCCCTTCCATCTTTCCCCTCCGAATAAAAGATAGTTATGTTTCTCCGCTCACATAATAATACGACCTCTTACATTCCGAATAAATCATATATTTCATTGTTATGCTTATCCAAATTCGGGAATAACACGATATATTATCAGTAAGGTTTGCATAAAGTTATATATATATTTCTAGTGTGGCAGGCTATAATGAAAATGTCATTAGGTTATTTGGGGGTAAGAGCAAATAATTTCATACTTTTTTAGCAAAATTTAAATTGTCCGAAAAACTCTGATTCTATTCACAAACAACAACAATTTATTCTAGTTTATTGGAGCAACAAAAAAATAATCATTTAGATATGGATCATACTTATATCTCAATTTAATCATTACAACATTCATAGCCTATATCATACTTATATCTCAGCTTTATCATTATAACATTCATAGCCTATATCATACTTATATCTCAACTTATCATTACAACATTCATAACCTATATCATACTTATATCTCAACTTTATCATTACAACATTCATAGCCTATATCATACTTATGTCAGCTTCATCATTATATCATTCATAGTCTATATCATACTTATATCTCAATTTTATCATTACAACATTCATAACTTATATCATACTTATATCTCATCTTTATCATTACAACATTCATAGCCTATATCATACTTATATCTCAACTTTATCATTACAACATTCATAACCTATATCATACTTATATCTCAACTTTATCATTACAACATTCATAACCTATATCATACTTATATCTCAACTTTATCATTACAACATTCACAACCTATATCATACTTATATCTCATCTTTATCATTACAACATTCATAGCCTATATCATACTTATATCTCAACTTTATCATTACACACATTCATCACTTACATCATACTTATATCTCAACTTTATCATTACAACATTCATCACCTATATCATTCTTATATCTCAACTTATCAT